AACAATTGTTTTAACATTTTTTTTATATATTTATATATATATATATATATATATATATATATATATATATATATATTTCATTATATATATATATATATATATATATATATAAATATTTACAAATACTTAAAATATAAATAAATGTACTTAAAATGTTTTATTTATTTGTTGACAATGTCTAATAAATTGCCCTAGAATATTCCTCATAAATATATATATATACATATGGAGTCAAAGTATATTATAGTTGTTTTGTTGAAATCTTAATAGCTTGTGTTTGTTGTTAGACGTTGTTGTAGTTTGCACTAATAGCAATGTCTGAGAATAAACAAAAGTTATTGAATGTTCATGAACAGCACTTAACTTTCAGTTACTGATCTCTTAGCTTGGAAACAGGAAAAACCTGCTGGACAGCCATGAATGAGAGAATGAGAGTGCAACTAACTAAAAAAAAAAGATTGTCATAGCATGAATCATCCCTCAAACCAAGCAAGAGTTTCACCACTGTGGGTGTTTTTTATTTTTTATTTATTTATCTTGATCAGCAATGGACTTTTTTACTCTCTTTTGTGTTTTTTAGTACCAGTTACTAAGCACATGCCTGTTGTATTTTGATCCTCAGGTTGATATGATCAACAGTTTGCATGTATCTGTGTCCCAACAGTGTCATACAGCATCCTGTGATGGTGCATGAAATCCACTCCACCTACACCCCATCAGCATACATGCTAGTCGTTGTCTCCTCTGGTCAGTAAACACATCAGCAGATATCAGAAACACATTGCACTATCATACAGTATTGCATACATTGCAATGCAACACAGTTAACCTAGACTCTTGACACAAGTAGGAAGTATGTAACTCGCATCTTATTTTTCTGATTCTCATGTTCTCCTGCATGTTCAACCATGTAGCAATCCTGTGTAACCCTGATCTCCTGATAAGAGTTTAAGATGTTCTGTGACTCAGGTCATTGGAATGATATTGTAGACAAGAATTAACATCTTAAAACTGTTTTTCTCACAGTCTTTAAATAAAGTTAGAGTTTATTGATCAAAAATACAGTAATAACAGTAATGTTGTGACATATTAAAAATGTTTCTATAAAACGGTTTAAAATAACTGATGTCTATGTTCATATTTTTTAAAAGCTGAATTTTCAGCAGTCATTACTCCAGTCTTCAGTGTCACATGATCCTTCAGAAATCAATCTAATATGCCGATTTAGTGCTCGAGAAACATTTCTTATTATTCATGTTGAAAACAGTTGTGCTGCCAAATTCTTAATAACTGATACATTTCAGGATTCTTTGAAGAATAGAAAGTTCAAAAGAACAGTATTTATTTGAAATAGTGAAGATTTTTATAATGTTACACATTTCTGTCACTTTTGCTCAATGTAATGCATCTTTGCTGAATAAAAGTAATAATTTCTTACTGGGAAAAAAAAGGAATTGACCCCAATGGTAGTACATAACAATAAAAAGATTCATTCCCAGCAATTCATCTTCTCTATAAAAACTGTACCAAACAATGACACCTTTAACACTGATTGAGTGGCCCTATGGTGAACCTGTTCCACATACAGGGACTGGAAATTGACAGATATAAAATGAAATCCCTCTTGTAACTAAACACAATTTATTTTTAAAGGTTTTGTCTGGTCAATAAATTCAGCATTGATCTCCTTCAACAGGCTACTTCATTCAGGATGCTGGTGACATTATTTTTAGTGGCTACGCAAAAGCATCTTGGGAGTTTTTACTTCACCATGTTATGGTAAGTCAATACACAGGTTATCACACAAGGCCATGAAAAATGTTTCAAAAATGCTAGGTGAAGCCATAAAAACTCTTATTAGTCAGACCTGGAAAATGTCACAGCTTGTTCCCAAAGAGAAACTGAGATTCGGGACAAAGTTCTTGAGCAATGAAGTTATTCATTTTGAACGGGTAGATTAGAGTGGGCTCAGCTGTAATCCTGAAGTGGGGTATATGGACTGCCACAATGATTGATTACACATCATTCCCACTTATACTTGAGGGAAATTTACCTTTGGTACTTTGTACTTTTTATTTTAATTGCTTGTTTGTAACTGGAAAAAAAAGCATGCAATTCTAGTTAGATAAGACAATGTGCAATAATAACAATCAATCCTGTAGGAAAGACATTCCACACTCTATAAGCAAAAGAAGCAGAGTTCAAAACACTTGGAAAGTTTTACTCAAATTCACACATGTACACATTTACAAGAGCAAATGAGGTGGAAGACACTACAGACAAAAACATCCAAAATACACTTTTAAGTGTTTAGTTTATTGCACTGTTTCTATTTGTGTCTGTAGAGTTCAATTACAATATTTATCTTGAAAGGCCTTTTTTCCTCATGCAATTAGCCAGAAATCTCCACTTCAGTAGCACCTACATGCACCAAACTTTACAGTTCTAAATGATTTTACACAGAGGTTTGTTCATTGATCACTTGCCTAATTTATTTATTTTTCTTCCTAAAAACATTCATTAGTTCATTCATTTATTGGCTTTTGACTGTATTTTCAGATTTATGGAGTGATAAAAGCAGATATCCAAAATCAATTGTAAAAAAAAATATATATATATAAATTGTAAGATGTCAACAAAATAAAACGTTGTGGAAGCTTCTGTCACCAAAACAAGTTCCTCATTTGTGTAAACATACCTGGCAATAAAGCTCTTTCTAATTCTGATCCTGATCCAATGTTTAGATTTTTGTTCTGGAAATGTATGCCAATTAGTGCACATTTAGATAAATATAACATTTCAGAATATATGTAATATACTTGTAATCACATTTCCAGGGTTCTCAGAAGTGAAAGTCATCACAGATTGGTGAACTTTTATAGCGGTGAACAGAAACTTCAAGAAATAACATTTTTGCTTTCCCATTTGCTCCAATAGCCAAAGGAAAAAACAAACAAACCATAATAGCATTTCTATAACTTTACAAAAGAGGAAGAAAATATTGTGAGATTACGTCGGTCAGAAGAAAGTTGTTAAATTTGCTGTCACTGTATATTAGAAACACTCACACAGCAGTGTTAACCAGTTTTCTGTAATTTAAGGCCCAGTTAAGAAAGCACAGAGTATAACATTGCTAGATTTACAATGTTAATAACTGCATCCTCACAGTCTGCTAAAAGGATCCATTCTTAATTTAATCAATCAAATTGTTTTAACTGTAAATCTCTGTTATGTTTTCCTGTAGGTGATCTGGTGTTTCGTGTATGCTGTGTTCACTCATCAGTATGTGGCAGGTGCAGTGGTGGCTTTATTTGTGGAGGTGAACAGTGTGTTCCTACACACACGTTTATTGCTCAAACTGGCTAAGGTGGCCCACAACTCTTTCATCTACACTGTTAACAAACTGTTCAATGTGGTGACCTACGTGACCTTCCGGCTTGGAGCACAGTTTTACCTCACCTGGTACTTAATACACCACTACTCTTCGTTGGATCATGCCCTCTACTTCCTGATAACCATGATGCTCATGAACATCATGATTCTCATCTACTTCTACCGCCTCCTCCGAACCGACTTCTTTAGCAAGGGGCGTCCTCACAATAGTGGTCGTAAATTTGCTGAGGACTAGACCAACAGAGGCTGATGTCAATCAGTCATAAACCAAAGACTGCATTCAAGTGACTGTTAACACAAAATTTATCCATAGGATGCATGTGCTGAATGAGCAAACCTCACCAGAGAGAGTCTGATGTGAATCGGAGACATTTAAAGAGTTTTCACATGTTAGAATAAAACTTAAACTCAATAAACAACTTTATCTGATCTGTTAGCACAGATGGGTTTTTGCACTTCAAAGTGATTTTCTTGCTCAGTATCTTGTTTTTCGGTACAAGTGTCTAAACATTCATACATCATGAAACATTTACTTCAGCAAAATTACTTTAGATTTTAAAGGATTAGTTCACCCAAAAATGAAAATGTGCTGACGATTTACTCAACTTCTGGAGATCCAAGATGTAGATGAGTTTGTTTCTTCATTGGAACAGATTTGGAGAAATTTTGCATTACATTACTTGTTCACCGATGGATCCTCTGCAGTGAATGGGTGCCGTCAGTATCATAGACGTGTATAGGGTCAGAAGGAGTTTACAGCTGATAAAAACATCACAATAATCTACATGACTCCAGTCCATCAATTAACTAATTGTGAAGCAAAAAGCTATGTCTTTGTAAGAAACCAATTCATCATTAATGCATTTTAACTTTAAACTGTTGCTTCTGGCCAAAATACGAGTCATCTATCCATAATTTTGCTTTCTCCGTTGGAAAAAGTCCATCCTCTGTTGTCCTTTTGCGTGAACTATTCCTTTAAGTTCTTTCAAAAAACAAAAAAAAACAATCAAAATGAACTATTTAAGCGTTAAATCTGAAAAAATATCTGCCAGTGGGATAAGAAAATTAAACTTGTTTCCCCTTGAGTTAAGTTCATACACAATGGGCAAATACCTTTTCAGAAAACAATGCTTAGTTTGTGACTTACTAAATTTTGCTTTTCCGTAAATGTATCTTGATTTAACAATTTTTAGACATTTCTACTGGAAAACAACATAAATCAATACTAAGACAAAAACTTCCAAAGTAGGGGCAATGCAGAGACGGGCAGTATTTTAATCAAATGTATTTAAAATACGTATTTAATTACTTTTGAGTATTTTGTCATTCATATTTTGCTGGACAAAAAATAAAAATCTAATGTAATGTGTAATTAAATACTTTGAGAGACAGTATTTTATATTTGAAATACTTGAAATACTTCAACAAGTAGGTCATTTTATTCTCAGATAATACAATATCTTTCTTCACCTGTGTTAATAGTACTACCAACTATAGCCTATCACAGTTTTTGGCTTGATGCAAGTGAATCACATCCTGTTGGATCCATAGACAGAGTCTTAAAGGGTTAGTTCACCCAAAAATTGTGTTGTTGACAATACTGTTGTTAATTACTCACCCTTACCACTCCCGTAAGGCCTTTGTTCATCTTCGGAACACAAATGAAGATATTTTTCATGAAATCTGAGAGCTTTCTGTCCCTCTACAGCCAGCCATGCAACTTATACATTCAAGGTCCAGAACTGTAGGAAAGATAGTTAAAGGGTTAGTTCACCCAAAAATGAAAATGTTGTCATCATTTACTCACCCTCATGTCGTTCCAAACCTATATGAGTTTCTTTCTTATGTTGAACATAAAAGAAGATATTTTCAAGAATGCTGGGAATCAAACAGTTGATGGTCCTCATTGACTTCCATACTATTTCTTTCCCTACTATGGATGTCAATGGGGACCAACAACTGTTCAGTTCTTCAAAATTCTTCAAAATATCTTCTTTTGTCTTTGAACAAATGAAAGAAAATTATGCAAGTTTGGAATGACACGAGGGTGAGAAAATGATGACAAAATGTTAATTTTTGGGTGAACTATTACTTTAAAGTTCTCCATGCGATTCCAGTGGTTTAACCTCAATTTTATGAAGTGGTTTGTTTGCAAAAAAAAACATACTTTACCACTTTATTCACAAAAATATTATCCAAACACATGCGTTGTGGTACTCTCGTGAACTCACTCATGTCTCGTGAACGCACAATGCAGCTCAATATTTTCAAAGTTAAGAGGTAAAGAGGGTTTTTTTTGTGCAATCAAATCACTCGTGTCACTTCATAAAATTGAGGTTAAACCACATGGAATACTTTAACAATGTCTTTCCTACCGTTCTGGGCTTTGAATGTGAAAGTTGCGTTGCTGCCTATGGAGGGACAAAAAGCTCTTGGATTTCATCAAACATATCTTCATTTGTGTTCGGAAGAGGAACAAAGTTCTTACAGGTGTGAAACGACATGAGGTTGAACAATTAATGACAGAATTTAAATTTTTGGGTGAACTGTCCCTTTAACTCGTTCATGGTTCCACCTTCCAACTGGGAGAAAAGAAAATGAAAGAAGCTGTTTTTATGCTCAGTGCAAACTGGCTAAGTGTGTACTAAAAACTATACTATCAGATATTGCTCACTGAATGTTATTACAGGACAGAAGAAAAAGCTGTGCTGCTCTAGAACTTTGCTTGCTAGCTAACAAGTGATGTTAGCTTGCTAGCTAAAGTTAGCTACTTGTTTCAATGGACAAAATGAAATTTGTAAAGGGGCTTTATGAAAGAATTTTCAAGTATTAATCACTTTTTATTGCCAATGTGTGAACAGCATGTAAACAAACTTAAAAAATTAGATGAAGCTTGTAGATACATTTTTATGTGAAGAAAATCCAAGGGAAACTATCATAACAGTGTAATTTTGATGAACCTCATCTGTCGTCATGATGTCGGTGAATCACACTGGCCGTCACTCGCTCGCATTACTGGGCCTTTCTACAGAATTGGTGCAAACTAGTGTCCCACAACCAAAAAACACATTTAAATAGCATTTAATTATTCAAATCTTAGATTTTTACTAAGGTCCTTCTATGATCTATTGAAACCCACAATATTATTTAAAATATTAGTAAGCTTAACATAAAATCATATTTTATTGGGTACTTTCAATTGGGAGGTGGCTGTCTCGAACCCTAACCCCTAAATTTCAACTTATGAAAATTATATTGAAAAAATTTTTGTATTTCATTTCTATTTGACTTTTTTTTAAGTAAAGTTAATAAAAATATATAAATGTTAAAATGTTATAATAAATCATGAAACTTTATGTAAAAAAAAAAATGTGTCCCACATTTTCATGTCACTACCGAAAATGTTTTAATGTTTTAGCTGAGACTGAATTTAAACACACCCCTACATTTATGATCAGGAAATATTTATGTGTCACTCTCTCATAGCTACAGGGTGAGTAGATAGACCCCATCATTTTGAGGTAAATGTGTTCAAAAGTCTGAAAATCTGTGTGTAACTTTAAGGAACGTCACAACCTAACACATTTTTTCCCTGCAATTAAGCACACTTTTTTGGGTGTTATTCCTTAATAATTAGTTTTTATGTGTGATTAACTGTTCAGAACTGTGCTAGCTAACCATGTGCTGATTAGCATCTTAAGTATCTAAGGGCCCAAAAGTATCTAAAACAGTCACGACCAGACATGTCATCATTTTGGTAATGACAAAAGTTAACACATAATCCTTTATTTGGGGGAAATAAACAATATTTTAGTACAGTTATGCAAATGTTTAGTTTGTATGTTTTAGTATGCGAGTTAAAATTCTGTAATGTGATGTGGTTGCTACCAAAATGTGCAGTCACAAACATGGGATGCTGTGTCAAAAATAAAACATTGAATTATCAACTAAGATGTTATGATAGTGTTTGGTTCAATTTATGTATTCAAACTAATGAGTTATTAACTTTGTACTTTACAAGGAAAGATTGGATTCAAAATACTACAAATCTCATAAATTACACTTAAAATATTGTTCAAATTGTTATTGACCTGTGAAAACTTTTTTAATAAAATAGCAAAAAATAAATAAGGTAGATGTAAACAAAATCTTAATAGGTCAGTATAACCCTTCTTATTAAATGATATATTATTGTGTTTTGGTTGTGACAAATTTGGGGAGTGGAAAAATATTCCAAAACTTTCTGAAAATACAATATGAGGATTAACTGCACAATTGTAATGTGTACCTTGGATATTACACATTTTTCACACATACAAAATTTGTCAAAAAATAAATTTTTTATTTTTTTCAAGATGTTTCCAACTCTGACTTTTAACCAATTCTGTTGAATGGCCCTACTATGGAGTGTGTGCAAGAGCATGAGGTAAAAATTGCTGGCCACAGCCACTGGTGTCGCTAATAACAAGGGTTTCTGAGTTCTACATAGAGCCATTTAACAGCTAACTATCAGCATTTTAGGAGTTAATCTTTACTGTTGACAGTGAAATAGCTTGAGCCGTCAATACAGTTTCGCAAGACTGCTTAATTTTTGACACGCTGATAAAAACACATCAAAAAAATAAAGCACGCTTGATATTTAAGTAAACACAGTCAGTTGTGTCATAGTGAACGTAAGAAATTAGAAGAAATATGAATCAATATATTGTCTAGTGTTAGGGTAAAAAAAAACATGTTTATAAGTTGTCCAAGGAGGGGAAAGCACTTCTCTTTGTCTTGTGTGTATATCTAACTCCAGCAATACTAAAATGACACCGTCTCTTGCACTTCAAATGATTGCTCAAATTCAAAATTACTTTTATTTTAATTAAATACAGTTCTCACACCAGTATTTTTTTATGAGCAAGTATTTGTAACAAAATACTTTTTGATGTATTTGTGCCCATCTCTGGGTTAAAGTTGAACCTATAGGGGGCAGTGGAGTAAACTGTCATCTTAATTTAGGAAACTGCACCATTTGTGATGTAAAACTATTAGGGATGGGCGATACCACTTATTTTGTTTTCGATACGATACCGATATTTTTCAAGGCAGTATCGTCGATATTGATACCGATTCGATACTTTTGCACTAAACTTTTAAATGAAGAAATGTATTAAATTATTAAATTACTAAGAGTAAAATGGGTACTAATAAGCACTTAACTTTATGTTTAAAACACATTTTAACATTCAATACGCCTTAATTGTAACTTATTAGGTTATATTTTTGTTTACACATGGTTCAAATCTATAAATACTACAGTTGAACTATGGTCACTTTAGTAAAACCATGGTTCATTTTCATAAAGGACTGCCAGTGACCGGCTGTTGCATGCATGAAATGCAACCTTTTTATTCTGACCGTGTATGGTTTCTATTAACATTACAGAATAGAACATGATCAATATTATATTTCAACGTTCAATTTAAATAACTGTAATTGCACAAACTATGTAGGCTACAATTTCAGTTTGTTTATTGTGAAATAACTCTGTCCTTCTGTCCTCTGATAAGCATTGTTTAGGGCTGCCGTTACCAAAAGCTTTAATGCTTTCTTATGATACTTTTGGGAAAAGCAGCCCTGTTTGAATGCACTGTCAGCAGTGAGTGAACGCTCTCTGTGATCGATTGGTTCTGTCTTGCAACATTCGTGTGTGTTCAGATGAGCAGGAAAATAGTTATATCCTACACAATTACTCGCTAACAAAGGTTATTC